GGCCTAGACTAATGGTTGTGTGCTGAATCTACGAATCAAAATATCACCTGGAAACATAATTAACTGGTCAATAGCTGTGAAACTGGACATGAGTTCTTGATTCTATGGAGATTAACAGTAATCCAGAAATTTACAAATTTGCCCTGGGCCATCGTGTAAATGTTGTCCCTGGGCCATCGTGTAATTGTTGTCCCTGGGCCATCGTGTTAATGTTGTTCCTGGGCCATCGTGTTAATGTTGTACCTGGGCCATCGTGTTAATGTTGTCCCTGGGCCATCATGTTAATGTTGTCCCTGGGACATCGTGTAATTGTTGTCCCAGGGACATCGTGTAATTGTTGTCCCAGGGACAACATTAACACGATGGCCCAGGACAAATTTGTAAATTTCTGGAATACTGTTAATCTCCATAGAATCAAGAACTCATGTCCAGTTTCACAGCTATGGACCAGTTAATTATGTTTCCAGGTGATATTTCGATTCATAGATTCAGCACACAACCATTAGTCTAGGTCTTTTAGTTCAAATTCTATTCATTTGTGTTTGTAAAATGATCATGGAAGCTACTGCAATTTTGCCTGACAACATTTTTATGACAGCTATATTCACCTGTACATTTATTATATATCATAATACATTGACACGCAATTCTCTGTCTGGAGAACACTGGTTCGCAAGTAGCCTATCACTAGCAAACAAACAGCTATCCATTTCAGCCATTTAAAGGAAAATATATGTATAATGCTTACCGTTTATTAAAGAAAAGTATCTTGAGTGGAATTCAAATTGCTGGATCAGCGGATCGGCGGACAAAGGGCAGTTTCTCGAAGAACATTTGTTTTTGAAGGCGGGTATTTTTCGCAAAAGTATGACGTCACAAGAAGGTGATTGGTCACTTGTAATGTGGACCCTGGAAAAACATTAATTATGATGATGTGGGAACAACGCCAACACGAGGATATCAGATCGTCCGGGTTTTACTAGGTGGGTGAACTTAAAGTGGAGCGCTAATCTTGCTGGGAAAGTCGGGATTGGCATCAGATACAACTAAAGTTTAAAATTACATTACATAGAAAATATATGTGCAATTTCTTAACCTTTTAACCACTTTTAATCCAATTGTAAACTAGACACTGAGAATAAGGTCTGATTAACTCTTCTTGGTACTGACAGAAATACCTGCATCCTGCCACTAGCTCGTCTTTCTTTTTAAAGGCCCAAGTCCAGAAATAGATTTCGCCTAGTGGTTAGCGGATGGGTTTCTATTTTCAGTACACACAGCATTAGCGTGTGTGGTCAACAGATTACGCTGAGCATTAATTCTTTTGGACAGCAATTAAGCAAAGAAGCATTATAGCATTTTAAATGGAGTCGCTAATGCTAACAACACTACACAGTGTTAAACTGCTTTAGAAATGAACAGCGTATAATGCAGTTACACCTCTTGTCCCATGTGTGCAATTCTTCCACTTACTTGGCCAGGTGCTTCACCAGCAGCTCCAGCATCTGTCTGTTCTTCTCTGGTAGCCGATGCACTAGCGCGTGGACCTCTGTTACTCTAGCCTCTGGATTGTCCATCTCTGGATAGAGACACATATTAAGACTTGAGGGATTCAAGTGTGTCGCTGATTATTATATCTTTATTGACACAAACAAGCACATACAAAACCATCAAACAGGTAATTTTGTAACCATGCAAAGCAGTCGTGATCCCTTTTTTATTTTTCCTTTTTAAATTAATGTAGACACTAAAAAGCAGTCATTCCAATACACGCCACAGAAATTAAACAAATATACCCAAGATTTCAATAAAATCAAAGTCTGAATAACATCCAGACTCGGTGGAGTTCTTAGATGTCACACAGATATTTCACATCCTTTTTCCTGTCGCTATAACCAACTATCATCCTAACACAGTCTTAAGCTGCTTATATTCTTTGGTAAACACATTGTTTGCCCAACAATAATTAAAAATCAGACCCACATATGCCATCTTGGCATTCTATATAATCACTATGAGTATCAACCTGCAGTTCTATGAAAACGCACCATAAACTCATGTTTGTGCCATTTTTGTGAAAAAAATAGTCCAGCTGATTTAGGAAACCAACTGACGTAATGGGCTTGAGTGTCATAAACAAGGTTAGGTAGGTGATAAATATTCAGAGGGAATCAGGGTTTCTGTGTATCACTGCCAAACTAGTTATGAAGCGCATATTAAAACGTTTATCTCCACAAGATGCAGAGACAGAGCAGAGGATACATGTGGGTATTTATTGGCACTGTGTGTTTAATACTGTTACAAAGTGGAAAAGCTCCGTGGCAAGCAGGGCAGAACAGCCTGTTGCTGATGAATAACTATAATAACTCAAGCCTGCAGGGCTAGTCAATAAAGAGATGACAGCAGACTCACACTATATCAACCTTCAGGCCCCAGCTGTCAGTGCCAGGCAACGCTCCCACAACTGACAGAGCATCTTATACACAGGCAACCATAATTTTATTATTTTCTTACACAACTGGGCTGGGCTCCAGCAGACACATATATATATATATATATATACTAAAAAAAATAAAAATAAAAATCAGCATTCCTTATTATGGTGCCCACAGCTTTACACACATGCACAAAAGGACAAAAAAACAAAACTTTGTTTTTCTTTAAACCTCAGCCCAGACATGTGTAGTCACAGCACAGTATAAATACACATTCGGTTTTACAGTACTGAAGACCTTTAATTTTATTCGGAGTAGATTTAGGACACCATCAAACGCTTTCTGAATTTAATAAGAGTAGGAATCCAGCCAACATCAACCGCATCCCAGGAGGGAGATAAACAAGGAAATTACACTTGATTCACCAATAACCTGTTTTCTCATTATTGAGGAAGCTGCTAATGTGATGCAAGTTGAGTTTTGGGTGCTTTTAAGACCGTAGGGAAGCAGTTACTTACATCGATGGATCAAGATGATTATGTACAGCAGCCAAAACGAATCCGTTCTTAATAAATATGTCAAATGGCACAAACGTTTGTTTTCAATCGTCATTCGGTTGTTTCAAACATTTAACTGACATTTTGAAAAGACTTTAAGCTTAGCATTAAAACTGAAATATTGCTACTACCAGCTTTTCTTCTGTTTTACCTCTTCATCTGCCCTAAATATCCACAAAGACACACTGCTCTAGTTACTGGTGTGTATGCGCTGCTAGCAGCAATGTAACAGTTTAGTCTGCAGAATGTCTTTATAAACAGCCTGTGTGTCTTGCCCATGCTGGTGGTGACTGGCTAATCATTAATCCTGCTATGGTGTTCACTGGACACAATGCTGTTCAGCCAGGATGCCAGATGAGTGAGTCATTTAAAATGAGTGAACAGGCCAATATGTCTGAACTCACACAGGAGGAAGTGATTAAATATAGAGAAATATCTCACTAGATATACAGATTAAAAAAATAAATTAAGAAAAATCTGGTACATCTGTGACTGATGAAGTGGTTTGCTGATGTCACAACTGGATGATTTTTAGACCATGTTCCATGGCCCGCAACTTTAATGTTTAATTAAAGTTTAATGTATCCTGGCACGCATAATGTACCAAAATAAGGGTTAAATCATAGAAAATGTAGGGATAGAAGAAAAATATTGCAAACATAGTATAATGTGTTTATAACCTACAGATCAGGGTATTTCCTGACCTATTATTTTTCAGAAATTTGCCTATTCAGCTTTAAGACTATCTGACACTTTTGTAGAAAAGGCGGCAAACAACTCCGTCTATCATGCATAATCGTGCTTTAGAAAATTAATGTCAATTAGTACTTGTTAAATTGGCTTCTTAAAAAAAATAAGACTTTGATTTACGTGTCACAGAGATGAGGCTCATCTCAGGTCTTTCTTATAGACTGCATTAAGTAATGCAAGTGAATAAAGTTTGGTAGATCTTTGTAGATGCCTTACAAAATATCACTCCTCCTAGTAGGAGTGAGAAATAAAGCCCAATTGGAAGGAATTCTGGTGATGTACATAAATATTAGACACAAGATGGACAGAGTCAGAGCATTTTCTGCATACACTCTATACTTTCTTTTCTATTCTGCCTCTCGTGAAATTTGAGAAGGAGGAAGAGCACGATGCAATATCAGATCTTGTGGGCGGAGTTGGTGAATACATGTAAAAGAGAGGAGGGAAAAAAAGGGAGGACCTAAAAGAGAGAGTTCAGATGAGGACGCTGTCTTTAAAAAACACCCTGCTGCTTCGGCAGAATTCCACCTTGGAAAAAAATTCAAAAGCTAAGTCACACAGACAGAGGCGCCGTCTTGCACATATGCATTCTGAAAGAAATTCACAACGTCAACCGAAACTAATGAGTGCCGCGGAAAAGAGGTCAGGTCAGGCACACAACTGTAAACTTATACAGCAACTTCACAAACACAAGTATTTTTTAATGATTACTAAAAAACCATAATCCCATGCATTATCACATGGGTGGTCCGCCTTGTTTTCAACCGAGCTATCTTGGTAGACTTATCTGCCATCCTCTTTTCCTTTCTCTAAATACACTCATAAAAAACAATCTTCATTGGATTCACTGCAGAGCCTTTCTTGGTACCGTGGCCAGAAACAGACAGTCGTTTCCTGGACTTCCTTCCTATGTCAGCTTGGCATCCGATACGATTAGCTACTGCCAAACAAAGAAAACAAATCACTAAAGCATCCTCCAACACTAGAATTGTACTAATCTACTTTGTCTGTGTCGAATATTCATTAAAAAATAGGAAGCAGCTACATGGATAACCATGGTTAATCGACCCAAGCAAGCTAAACTATGGTTAAACAGAGTCAGAAAAACAAGGAAATCCAAATGAACAGATTTAGCAAAGGAGGGGTTCATGCAAAGTCTCCATTTCATGTTCTAGATCAGTTGGTGCTTGCAAAAGTTTATTTTGTAGCCTAGCAGCCTCATGACAAGAATCTAATACACTGAAATGATTGCCATGGCTGTTGGAGAGTTCAGGCAATCTATCTTCCAGGCAGCTGAGGGTTTTTTTTCTTTTAATAAAATATGTTTCCTGAATCAAACCACACCCATCAGGTGCAGTTACCAAAAAGGAGCATTTTGCAGCTGCTATGTGATCCACCGAAATTCAAAACAGTAAACCTTTAATTGGCTGTCAGTTTCTGATAAGCTCTCCAGGCTTCTTATAATATTGTATAACCCACACCGGATAGACAGAGTTACCAGTTCCCCACTATATATGCATGTAAACTGTTTAATTAAAAACCGTCTAACAAGACAGGAACACCATAAAACACCGTATTTAGAGAATAAAGAGAGTTTTTCAGTGAATATATTGTCACTCTCCTAATTCTACTAAAGAACAAGGGCAAATAAACAGCAACCATAAACTTTAAACTACTTATAAACATATGGGAGCATATTAAATGTTCGACCAGCAAAGGATTTGTGAAAATAGAACATCTCTATGATAGTAATTCAGAAGCCAGAGTAGTTCTAGATACTCTGAGGCCTGGTGAACTGTTATTACTGCTGTCAATGTGATAATAGAATAATTATGAATTTCAACTAACCAAATTTAGGACGTTTAGCCTATTTTCCTCTTTAAACACAGCTGATCATATCCAGCGATACAAATAACCATTTGCCCATCTAAGTTATTTAACTATTCTAAAGACAGTGGTCTAATTTCAAGACAGATTTTTTTTTTCCTGCCTTCCTGGGAAGCGTGGTCTACAGCACACCGCCCTCTTTTACCACATCTGGAAATCTGCATACAGCAAAGGAGGCACCATGTTAATGTACTGACATTAAAAAAGCAGAGTTTCAGAGTATTTATGAAACTCTGTTTCATAATTCTCGGCTCTGCAACGTATTCTGCAATGTGCATTGTGCCACAATGGACAGCGGAGTGTGGCTGCTGCTCCAATCAGCCCATCACAGCAGACGCACCATCGGCAGCAAAGCCAACAAACCGTGTGCACAACATTTAGTTAGAAAACACTTCTTTGTAAGACTCTCTAACTGTGAGATAACGGCCATGCTGCAATTTAACAAGTTTAAATAAGAAGCTGCAGGTCTCACCTTCTAGGGAATCCTGATGTTTAACACCCAGGAGGAATACTTCCTGGATTTTTGAGTCTCCTGTAAAATCTGACTCTCTGAATCTGAATTTTCATTTCTCTTTTACATAGTTAGAGGCAGCTTTCACACTGACACAGCTGTGCATTTTAGCCTGTTGAAAAGTTGGCATGGAGCAGGATCCGGATCTGGGTCATTCCCCCAACACAGTGTCATTGTTTGTTTTTGTGTTTGTGCAAGACTTTTTATTCTCAGAACCAACATAATGCAAAATTTCACCAACTCCAATCAACCATTTATAAACTGAAATGAATCAACAGGATTAGCTTAATTTAAAAACAAACAAAAGCTATTTAAGCATTGTCTAGTCGATTTTTATCCAATGTAGCCTTGAAGAGAAGTTTGCACTATTTAATATCAAGGTTGGCTTTAAAGAACTTAAACAGACATTTTGTGAAGAAAACGAGATATCAGGAGGCAAAAGGAAACTACTCACTGGCAGCTTTTATAAAGCTCCTCTGGTACTGGTATGTCATGAGAGGTGCAGGTAGCATTCTGGAAACATAAGATGTCAGGAGAAGATTATCAGCAAGGAAAATGGAACAAGAGCTTAGGATTGGCTTCTCTGGAAAAACCAATAAATCTGAAGAGTTCTGTATGAGCACTCATCTCACTACAGTTTGGAGAGAAATTAAAGGAAACACCAGGATGAAGTGTCTTAGTATGGTATTGGACCACCATGTGTAGCCAGAACAGCTCTAATCTGCCTTGGCAGTCATTCTAGAAGTCTGGAACTCTACTTGAGGAAGGAAAGACTATTCTTACAAAAGATACTCCTTCTTTTTATGATAGTGGAGACTGCTATCTAGTAGCTTAGACCAAAATAATTCCTAGGTGTTTAGTTGGGACATTTTTTCTTCAATTTATCTTTTTCTATTTTCTTCTCCTTCTGATATTTTCTCTCTACACACCAGCTTGACATGAGCTTTCTCCTACTGCCTGATGTGAATAATGGCACCTGCTGGTCTTCAGTGAGGCCTGACTTGAGGTCTTGATGGTGTAAATGGGTGTATGTACGAGAGAATTGACAGCAGGTGTTTCTATAAATCTGTCTGTTTATGTACCGGCGAAGTGCTTGCGGGCAACCGAATGAATACGAATCTTCGTATGCCTGTGGATTTGTGTTGTGAACAGCATAGATTCATTTAGCTACAGCAGATTGAGCACAGCATGAACACCTCTGCTACTCTCATCCCTTTCTTACATTTTCTTTCCATTTCAGCTGCTCATCTCTGGCTTACCACAATCACAATCCTTCTCTTATTGTTGCACAGCACCAGAGGAAGTAATTTAACTATGACGTGCAATATAATGACCAGAATATCGGGCAGTTTTGACACAGCATTAACTCTGAGTAAATAACATGTATAAAATGAAGAAAAACAGACCACAAATGATAGAAATGACAGCAAAATCAAGCAAAATATATTCAGGCCAGAGGTCTTTTTAACAAGTTATTATGTGATAAGTGCAGAAAAGTGCTATAATTGAGAATAAGAGGAATAATTCCAAGACACAAAAAGCACATTTAATTCATTTATCACGGTCACAGAGGTTAAAATGCACTCATGCTCAGTGAACACTGGAATAATTATTTTTTTGCTAATAATTCTTAGTAGAAGAACAAATGAAATCACTGTGAGTTTGCATTTATGTAAGAGTTTTCACACAAACCTGAGATAGTGCTTGATAGCACTAGTTATTGTTTTAATCTCCCACTCTGGGCTTTCCAGCTCTACGTCAGCACACGTCTTTGGATCTGATGGACAAAAATATGAAGAGAAAAAGAAAGAAACAAAAGAGATCAATTTTTTTAAAAGATATTTTAATTACTGTTTTGATACAACTTAAACATGTGCTTTTTATTCATGTGCTTCAGTGTTTACCCATAGCCAAGCTCAGTAGTTTTTGTATTTTGGAGTTGACGCCAGCGATTCTGTACAAGCCCTGTTCATCGATACCTGAAGGAGGAGACAAGAGATCATCTGTAACTGATATGATAAGATCAGGACTTTAGGATACTTCAAAATTCTCCCTCAAGCAAGCACATAGAGATTTCAGCAAGGGGACTTTTACCAGCGAAACTTTAGTTCCTCTACTTTGATAAATGCTTTAGATGCTCTTCTGTATGTGTTAAAGTGTTATTAATGTACTACGATGTGTCTTCCTCTCACCAACTTAAAATCACTGCCAAATAAGGCACGAACAGAAAAAAAGGCACCACACCGTTGTGATTTGATGCACTTTTTTGGCATCAGCATGAATCTCATATCAATTTAATGTGTTTAATCTTTATCTGTCCCATTGCAAACCTGTCCCAGCTAAGAAATCCAAGGTTACCTTCATATACAAGCTAAATACAAATCCACCTGACAAAGCAATGAAAAGGTACAGAGTGACCAGAAATGGGTACTCTTAGTGCAACAGATAAAAGGAGGTATTGATATTGTAGACCTGTGAACATGTACGGTGACAGAAAATCTGTAGGGAGCGATGTCCAGACACATCAGGAAGGTTTAAATCGCACTCATAGCTCCTGAACAGAATTTCAATTCATGCAGACCAATGTTCTGCATTTTAAAAATTCATATTCATTTATTTTTTAGATTATTTGCAATAATTTTGGTGCAAATATTTAAAAAAGAGAGAAATAATAATCCTAAAAATTCCAAATTTAGTATCAAATGAACTGAGAAAAACTTCAGTTCTACTAAGATAAACCCTTAAAAACGCATGGCAGCAAAGAGAGCTTTACGGTGACTGCAACACTGAATGCTCTAAAAATATTCACGAGAAGACTGTAAACAAGTAAGGTGGTCCACAAACAGTATTAACTTCTGATATTTATTGAAACTACTGTCAATGATTTGGATACAGCAGACGATAAAGTTTATTGGATAATCTTCATCGCTAAAAAAAAATACAGTGTATCACAGCAAAGAAGCAAAAAGATTTACAGAGCATTAAAAAACAAAAGGAAATAACGTGGGTTGACACTGTACCTCGCGTTTCCACCGCATAGATGAATTTTTTCATCACGTTGAACCCAATGACATCCAGCTGGGCCACTGATGGAGAGGGAAGCGACAAGAATGAATCTGAGCCAACTATCAATTTGTTTTAACATCACTAAAAACACAGTGTTCCAGCCTAAAAGTTTGTTGGCACTTTTTAGGCACAAGTATTATTAGGTCTTATATATTAATTGAAGATTGCAACGATAATCAACTCAATCCAAATAAATTAAAGACACTTACTGCCTTCACTCTGGTTATCTTTATTGAGGTTGTACACCTGCAGAAATAAAGAACAGAACACTTCACAGTTATGCTTAATTAGGAAAGCAAACATAAGTACATTACCAGTGTTTCACATGCTATAATATAAATATAAATATAGATAAATCTAGTTATGCAAGCATATAGTCAGGGTTCTTTAGGGAATATCCACTTATTATTTCTATCAAAAGTCACATTATATAGAAAATACAGTAGCTATGACTCTAATGCTCAGATCCATCCTTTTGTCTGCTGCTGCTATTTCACAGTCATGACTGTGGCGAGCTTGTAATGAAGAGAAGTGGGAGCCAGAGAACAAGATCGCCAGCATTTTTTAATTTTATGACCGTTCCCCTGAACTCTGCAACCGCGTGTTCCAACTTGTGGTGAGCTCCTGAATGTGGATTACCTTTGCATACTTGAATGCAGACATGAGGGAGGTGTTGGAACAAGAACACATCTGAATAAGAGTGTTAAAATAGACTTCCAGCCAAAGAGCAAAAATGCTGTACACCAAGGAGGTATAAACCAAGTGCTGAGGAAGTTGGTTGGCAGAAAGCTGTTGTGTTGATTGTTGTGGAGCATAAAGACCAAATGTTCCCTCTCAGACTTATGTGGTGTCTCTCTAAATGTGACCAGACATGGACAGCATGTGCTGAGGAAAAGACGCAGAATTTGAGCCAACAGTTTTCCAATTACACCTCGTGGTTTGTTTAGCTCTCATCCCATCCCCTTTTCTTTTCTCTCCTTCTCTGTCTCGGCCTCACTCTCCTGTTTGTCTGTGTCACACGAGAACAAACTGGTAACCATGGCAACCTACCGGTTCTCTCCCATCCATGGCCTCCATCCACAATCTACGGTCTTCTTCCGACAGAGCCTGCATGGTGATCACTCCCGGCCTTCGCACACAAGCAATAACAGGAAAGGCACATAAGCTTATCAAACCATACAGGTGAGCGGCAAACATTAGGTGTTAGATCATCAAACCTCAAGAATACTCAACAAACACACACAAAGACAAACATGTCCATAACTGGTGCAACAAGGGGCACCTATAAATCGAACCACAGCTGTAATAAAATCATCGTATTTAATAAAAAGTTTATCAACTAAAGAAATTCTTATGAAGGTTTTCAACTAAGTAGTTATATGTTCTAACTAAAAACTACTTAATAGATGTGCCCATTCTTAAATAAATGCCAATCTTGTTCTTTTTATAGCAAAACATATTCATTTATGGGTGCCAGAGCTATGACTATACTACTGTGTTCCAGTAAATCACATGATCAGCAGCTCCGATCAGATTTTTCCCCTTAAAAGGATAACAAAAAGATGACGAATACAGCATGAAAATTCAGCATCTAACAAGAATTCATTAGGCTAAGCAGCGAAAAATCATCCACAGAGGCAACGTGTGATGCGCACGTGCTCATGATTTAAACTGAGACCAGCTCTTCGGAGGTTATAAAGCCTGAAAATCGTAAAAATCCTAGATAATAAAGCCGGCTCTGTTAATTCCATGATTTTGTATTTTGCATAGAGAATATGTAATGTATTGCTCCTATTACAGTCTTCTTCATACTTTTCGTTTTTTTGTGTGCAATTTTACTGGCCTTTGTTTTTATTTTGTGCTGCTTTAAATTCTGTGTTTGCATGGGAAACTCATCACAGAGATGATCACCGTTCCCTCCTCTTATTCCGAGTCACTGTGATGGAAAAAGAATGAATAAGCACTGACGCAGTCTGTAACTCTGTCAGTGTAGCCACTCTTCCCTTTGTGTTATAAACGCCCCCTCCTTGTGTTAAAAGCTCTGTTAAAAGTTGTCTAATATGCCAAACAAATGATTTATGCAGTCTCTATTGCTCTTGATAATTTGCTACATTTCCCCCCCCATCAGGATCCTGCAGGAACGAGTCTGTGTATGCAGTGATCAGACTGTTTTGATCATTTTGAAGATTTATGTTGTAGAGCTGGCTCTCTAAAATAAACCTGCTTCACGGAGCATGAGTTACTGTACCACAGCAATCTGTTCCGCTTAAGAGTGAGACTGCTTTGTGTTCCTAAAGGACCTGAGTTAAGCCTAAAGATGGATGGTTAACAGATAGGCAGGGTGTGACAGAGGATAGCTGAAGTTGTGTGTGAGTGGACAGGAACAGTGGAGGCGGTATAAGAAGGGAAATGCCACAGAGGGCTGAGTCAGACAGGAAAAAGAGCCTCAATCTTCAAGCTCACACTAACTGTGCAGTGCCCTCATGTGTCGGTTCGCTGTAATTACATCCTGCTTTAAAAAAAAAAAAAAAAAAGGAAAAAAAGCCCATGCTAATCCTGAGATTGTGAGCTGGGACTGAACCACATTTAACCAAATCTTTCATATTGATGACACATAAAGTAAAACCTGGTGAAAAGAAAGCTGGGTGAATATTCACTAACCTGTCCACAGCCTCCACATCGAAACAGAACCGCTTTTCTATCGAGTCAGTCTTCCTTCTGGTGCACGACTTGAGAATAAAGCTCTCCTCCTCTCCCTGACACAACAAAAGCAAGAAGCAATGTAGTACATTAATAACACATGAAGAGCATTTAAGACATCATAATGCAACCATACTGTTTGAGTGGAATTTAATAGCCAGGACGGTAATTTTCAGCTCCATACTAAGACTAGCTCTGCAAGATTCACTGATTAAAATATTCTGTACTTTTCCCATATGGAGTCTTGGTGCAGGTCGTCAATATATCCTGTCTGAAACGAGCACATTTAGCTCCCTTCCTCCTCTCTTTAAGCCAACTTTTGTCTAATTGGCTGCCCGTCGCAAACAGAAGAACTCAATAGCAGTTTATTCCATGCTCCAAGGCTTGTCCAATAAGGCGTATTATACAGAGGCAAGGGCAGAAAAACAAACAAACAAACA